ACCCCTGGGACCCAGCCCTCAGACCCCACCCCCTTCCCTCCCAGGGAGTGGGACTGGTAGCCCCGGGCCCTCAGAGCAGGCCGCTGGGCTGGGCCTTGCTGCGGGAAGGTGGCTGCAGCGACAACCTGCGCTTTCAGAACCTCTCTCTTCAGCCAAGTACTCAACAGACAGGATAGAGGGTGCGGTTGGCAAGCCACCCAGTGCCTGCATCAGCCGGGAACACTAGATCACTCCCCACGCTCCACTGTGCTGGGGTAGTCTCTGTGGGCCCACACCTGTCTGCTGGAGGCCTAGAAATGCAGAAAGTGCACCTTTAGGAAATACTGAGGGGTTGCAGCTGGACGGAGGCTTCCTGCTGTCAAATCTTCAGATGAGGAGCCGGCGCACCAAGCACTCCTGCACATGCCCGCTCCTCACTGAGAGATGCAGCCTTGCCATTAACCAACACAGGAGTGTGCTGAGCTGCACGTTTTTTCCCCAGGATTCAACCAGTTAGTGGGGGAATTTGCATTCTAGGAAGCGCTTAGTGGCTCTGAGTAAAGGGGCCATGGCTAGTGGGGTCCCTGGTACCCAGTCATGTGAAGCACAAATTAACAAGCCGTGAACCCGCAGCTGGAGGCACAGATGCGTGCAGGAAGGTGAAGTGGCCTCCTGTGGGGAGATCCTTCCTTGGTGCCATTCCTAAGGGGCACATCGCTGTGTGCACTCTTTTAGATACCCCTTCCCACCCACATGGACAGATGGGCTCAGCTGTCCTGGACGGGAAGAGGACAGGGGCAGCACCCAGAGAGCACAGAGCAGGGGGGAGCCTGATGCTTCGATTCCCCTAGCTCTACACGCATCTATGAACCCACGCTTTGGTGGCGTTTTCCTTTTTAGCCTCATCTGGAAGTGCTGCCGTCTTTCCCCTGCCATCCACCTCTCTTCACCAGGAGTCACAGGAAACCCAGCTCAAAGGCCCTCAGCATCTAGACAAAGCAAGAAAACTGCCCTTGTTTCTGTTTTGTTTGGCCTCTATAGCAAGTTGACACTGCATTAGATAGTAACATGTAAAAAATCAAATGGTAGGAGCCGGCACTGTGGCGGAGCAGGTAAAGCCACTGCCTGCAGTGCTGGCATCCCATGTGGGCTCAGCTTCAAGTCCTGGCTGCTCCACTTCCCATCCACCTCTCTGCCATGGCCTGGGAAAGCAGTAGCAGATGGCCCAAGTCCTCGGATCAGCCCAGCTCCAGCCATTGTGGCCATTTGGGGAGTGAACCAATGGTTGGAAGACCTTTCTCTCTGTCTCTCTCAAATAAATAAATAAATCATTTTAAAAATCAAATTTTACATAAAAAGACAATTGTCTTGCTTTTCTAGAAAAGAAACAAAAAAGTTGGCAATACTTCCCCAGCACTTTCTTCTAGTAACAGCTGACTGGTGCTGGGGATAGTCTGTTCGCAAGCAAGGTGTCCACTCTCCAGTTTGCTACAGTCCCTACCTCGCCCTACAGTGGCACTCTGCCCACTCCCCTCATTGAACAGTTTCTGTCTGTCCAGTTCTCAAAGCGTGTCAGCTCTTGGCACAAATCTAGTCCCCCACTGACAAAGTGCATGGCAAATGAGGAATCTTTCAGTACCTATTGAACACGTGTGTGATTCCACGGACTGTCCATTTTCTCCAGTTAACCTTGCCATTGCCCATCTGTGCTATTCCAGCTATTCTGGTGTGATGTTTGGGTCCCTGTGTGTACCTTGGGGAGGTGATGGAGGTGACAGGTGGCTGGCTCTCACAGAAAGACCAAACTGGCCAGGCACAGTGGTCGGCACTCAGTGGGTCTCATGTGTTTATGATTTCTATTCCGGAGCAGGGGAAGGGTCTCAGAGGCAGCCTGGATGCTGCTGGCTGTCGTGCGTGTTCACTGTGACAACGATGTGAGGAGAAATCCTAGGTATTTCTGGAGCGACAGCCCGTGTCAGCGACCAGCTGGGCTCCCCCCGGCCTCCCAGCCACGTCCCGCCCCACGCCCAGAGTGACAGTGTGTGCAGGGGCCTGGGGAGGCGGGCTTGGAGGAGACTGCCAGGGGGCTCAGGGCCCTCCCGGGACAGAAGCCCGGGGCCGCCCTGCCTGGTGAGCAGGGGAGAAGGCCAGCGCAGGCGGCCTCTGTGAGGCAGGGAGCAGCTCTGCAGGCCCTGGCCCAGCCCCAGCTCCAGAAGCCTGAGAGATCAACGCTGCCACAGGCCGCCCCGCCTCCCTCTGTCACCTCAGCCCCCGACCTGGGCCACCGGGCTTTGGGCTTGGTCCTAATCCTCGAATCCAGTCATCAGCTAGCAGGTTCATCCACGTTTCAGCACACACACATGCACGGACATAATGAATGATACACATTCGCACACATTGACACACACACGATGCACGCACGCACAGTCATGAACATGATGAGCGATACGCACAGACACACACACACACATACACAGATACACAGGATGCACGCACACAGGCACAGACATGATGTGCGGTGTACACAGACACGCACGCGCACGCACACACATGTGCCCTGATCACGGTGCCTGGCCCCCACTGGGCTGTGGTAAGGATCCCTGAGGACAGCAGGTCTGGCTGTGCTAGCTGTGTCCCTGTCCCTCTGCCCTGCAGCCCTGTGTCCCAGTGTTGCGAGCGTGGCCGAGGACTCCTCAGCGGCACTAACACTTGGGCCATCTTCTGCTGCGTTCCCAGCACGTGAGCAGGGTGCAGGGTCAGAAGTGGAGCAGCAGGGCCCAAAGCTGCACCCGTGTGGGATGCGGTGTCTCAGGCGGCGGCACTGACAGCTGTGTCACAACGTGCCCCCCCCAGAGACTTTCAGATCCTGCCGTGTGAGATTCCCACGTGGGATTACTGGCGTTGTAGTGGATGTCCTCGTCTTTGCCTGGCCTGACTGTTCGAAGATTCAAGGGCAGAAGGGTGCTTCCTTCAAATAGAGCTCACGACGGTTTCAACAATGCCATGGAAGTGCGTGGCTTGGGGCAGCTGTGGGGACCCCTCTCAGGAAGCAGCACGCATGCGCCAGTGTCTGCGTTTGAGTCCCGGCAGCGCTTTCAACTCCAGCTTCCTGCAGGTGTGCGCTCTGGGAGGCAGCAGGGGATGGTCCACGGCCTGGGTCCCTGACACCCACCTGTGAGACCCGGATGAAGCTCGCAGCTCCTGCCTTGGTGAAGCCAGCCTGTGGGCAGCCCAGGGAGGAAAGAGCACTTGGACAGCCCCAGAGGTGGCCCAGTGTCTGCGGCAAACACCAAACACGACGGCTCCAAGTGTAGGCAGGGAAGATCTGCCGGGGACAGATGCTTGAAGGTCCCAAATGTCACAGCAGGAGTCGAGTCCCGCCCCGGAGCAGATGGAGCCTGGCAGGGATTTGAAAGTCAGCAGTGCTGGGCGTCCTCACACAAGACTGATGGGCATAACGCAAACCCACATTGGGGCCACACAGGTCTGCCACCCTGCCCAGCCCTGCTCTCAGGGTCAAGGACAAGCTCAGCTGACCGGGAGGCCCTGGGGCATCCCTGCCCATGACCACTTTGGTCCCTGCACAGGAAAGCCTGGGCTGGTGGACGACCCGAGACCCTTCCCCAACCACAGCCTCATGCCTCCCGTGGGAATCCAGGTCACTGGGACCCTGGACCCTGTCCTAATTCACAAGCCCCCTGCCCGCCAGCCTGCCAGCCCTCTGCTAGGCTGTTGTTGCCATCCATCGCCCTCCTGACCCCCAGGCTGGAGACAAGCCGAAGGCTGGGAGCCAGGCCAAGCCTCCCAGAGGGACTGCTCCTTCCATAGCTCCCAAAGCTGAAATGCCAGTGTGGAGAGGCTGCAGTCATTGGATAGGGCCCCGTCAGGAGCTCAGCAGTGCAGTTAACAACCCGAGCCTCCTGGGGGCCTCGCCCAAGCCACCTCTGTGACCCCCTACAGGGCCTGGTCCCTGGGCTGTTGTCATTGTGCAGTGGGCCCTGGGCAGGATGTACACTCGCTGGCAGGACCTGGGGTTCCCACAGGACCTTCTGACAGTGGGACCCAGGTAACCTGCAGGTTGGGGGGTGGGGTCACAGGGTCTCCTTTCTGCCCTGCACACGACTCAGAGCCCTGTGACACAGGACAGCCATGAAGCACTGGTCACTCATCGGGGTGACCTTGATAACTCTGAGTCACTTCCCCATGGAACATTCCAGAGGCAGTGCATGTGTGACGTGAGCACCTGCCGGAGCCCACGCAGCCCAGTTCTGTGCACGGAGCATCCATGTAACCTCAGATCTGGAAGAAAGCTCCTTCACTAAACACAGCCTACCTTCCCCAGAAATGTGGAAGTGAGGATGACCAGGGGTGGGGGAGGTCCCATCCTCCAGTGTCCCCAAGTGGGGCAGCAGGTCCTGCCTCTCCAGTAGGTCTAAAGCCTTGCTTTCAGCTCCCTGGGAACTTGGAAGGCCTAGGTGCTGCCAGGGGCCTCCTGAACTAACAACCAGGTCCCGCCTGCATCCTCTGCTGCGGTTGGGCCTCACCTTGGGCAGCCCGGGCACACAGCAGCATGGATGTCCTGCCCGGCTCCACCTGGAGCTGTTGGACTGCAGAGCCGGTGGATCCTGTACCCCATGAGGCCAGCTGCATGGCCCTCAGGGGAATGGGGTTGTGTTCTCCCTTGAGGATGCAGGAGATGTTGGATACGGACACAGACAGCTCTGTTGTAATGCACAGCTCTGTGGACTGGGACCTCCCTGCTGTGCCAGAGACCTCAGACCCCGACCCTCGTGTGCCTGTGCCATGTGGACACTGAGACTCTCCCTCCCCCCCTCTCCCCCGGCCCAGCCTCTGGGATGCGTCACTCTATGCTCTACTTCTATGAGGTCACCCCTTCTGTGATCCCTACACAGGTGAGATCGCCCAGCATTTGTCTTTCCGTGACAGCCAGCCACCTGTCACCTCCATCACCTCCCCAAGGTGCACACAGGAACCCAAACATCACACCGGACCAAAGCCACGTACAAAGGTGGATTTTATTCATGAGAAGCATTTGCAAATGCTCAAGGAAAGAAAAGCGTTCCATCAGCTGGGCCTGCAGATTGCTCCTGGTGACGGGGGCGGAGCGAGGCTACTTGGGGGCCACTCTGCAGCAGCAGCTGCCAGAGCTGCTCCCTCGGGATGGCAGGATGCAGCACGCCCTCAGCAGGAAGCGGAGGATCCTCCTGCCCACCCCGCGCCGGCCCTGCCTCTTGCCCTGGGCGCTGGCTGTGGTGTCAGCGGTGGCTGCAGTGGCTGTGGGCCCAGTCCCATTAGGCTCACGGGCTGCTGTAGTGGCTTCTGGCTCTGCAAGGTCCCCACGGCTCCTGGCACTGGGGCTGGAGGACGACGCCTTGGAGGCTGGCTCGGGGGCGGCACTGGGAGCAGGGCTCCACTGCTGCTGTGGCTGGCCTGGTAGGAGAGAGTCAAGAGAGGGGTCACCATGGGCTTGGGCTCAACTCCTGGAGGCCCCGAGGCAGGGGGAGGGCAAGACTCACTGGAGACCTCAGAGGAGTCGGGGGCTGCGCTGGGAGCAGGGCTCCCGGCACTGGGGCTGGAGGACGACGCCTTGGAGGCTGGCTCTGGGGCGGCGCTGGGAGCAGGGCTCCACTGCTGCTGTGGCTGGCCTGGTAGGAGAAAGTCAAGAGTGGGCTCATCATGGGGGGCTTGGGCTCAACTCCTGGAGGCCCCGAGGCAGGGGGAAGGCAAGACTCACTGGAGGCGTTGGAGGAGTCAGGGGCGGTGCTGGGAGCTGGGCTCCACTGCTGCTGTGGCTGGCCTGGTAGGAGAGAGTCAAGAGTGGGCTCACCTCAGGGACCATGAGCTCAGCTCCTGGAGACCCCAAGACAGGGGGAGGGCAAGACTCACTGGAGGCCTTGGAGGAGTCAGGGGCGGCACTGGGAGCAGGGCTCCTGGCACTGGGGCTGGAGGATGACGCCTTGGAGGCTGGCTCGGGGGTGGTGCTGGGAGCAGGGCTCCACTGCTGCTGTGGCTGGCCTGGTAGGAGAGAGTCAAGAGTGGGCTCACCTCAGGGGGTCTTGGCTCAGCTCCTGGAGGCCCCGAGGCAGGGGGAGGGCAAGACTCACTGGAGGCCTTGGAGGAGTCAGGGGCGGCGCTGGGAGCTGGGCTCCACTGCTGCTGTGGCTGGCCTGGTAGGAGAGAGTCAAGAGTGGGGTCACCTCAGCTCTTGGATGGCCCTGAGGTAGCAGGGGCTGGGAGGGGAGGGGACAAGACTCACTGGAGGCCTTGGAGGAGTCACTTTGTGTGGAGGACACGTCCACGGCCATGCTGTCACAGGACACTGATTTCACACACAAGCCGTCGTCCTCTATGGGGTGGTGCTCGCCGCTCTGCGAGGACTTGGGCAGGGACGCGGGGCCGTGGGGCCGAGGGCCTGGTGACCCCTCGGTCCCTGTGCCTGGAAGCAGGCCGAGGCCCTCCAGGTACTCGCTGGCCTCTGGGTCCCGGGGAACACCCAGGGGCTGCAGCAGGGTGACCGCGCCCTCCTCGTCCTCCTCGTCCTCCTCGTCCTCCTCGTCCTCCTCAGCGGCTTCTCGGCTGGGGCTGAACCACCAGTGGGTCCTGGCGTCCTCCGCACTGGGCCTCCTCGAGGCATTGACGGTGAGCAGCCACGACAGCAGATCCTGCAGGGCCGGGCTGACAGCACGCGGCAACGCATACCAGCCGCACAGCACCCTGTCCCGCAGCTTGTCCGTGTCCTTGCCGTGGAACGGCAGCGCGGCCGCCAGCATGGCAAATAGCACCACCCCCAGACTCCACACGTCGGCCTTCAATGCGTCGTAGTCCTCCCCGAGGAAAACCTCTGGTGCGCAGTACTCGGGGGTCCCCCAGAAGCCCCTTACCAGCGTGCCCTGCTCCAGCCGCAGGCTCAGCCCGAAGTCCGCCAGCTTGACGGTCATGTGCTCGTCCAGCAGCAGGTTGCCCAGCTTGAGGTCCCGGTGCGCCACGCGCTGGCCATGGCAGTAGCTCACGGCAGCCAGCGCCTGGCCGAACAGGGTCCTGGCCTCGGCCTCGGCCAGGCCGCCCTGCTCAAACACGTAGCTCTGGAGCGAGCCCTTGGTCGCCAGCTCCATGACCAGGAACAGGTGCTTCCCCGCGTGCCGCTCCTCCAGCAGCCGCACGATGTTGTCGTGCCGCAGGCTCCTCAGGATGTCCGCTTCCCCCTGCGCGGACAGCGGGCAGCTGGGAGAGCCGTCTCGCAGGAGGATCTTCACCGCCACGTACTTGCCCGACGCCAGGTGCCGGGCCAGCTTCACCAGGCCGAAGCCGCCCCGGCCGATCACGTCCACGAAGCGGAACCCGTCCAGAGGAGGATGGAAGTCCAAGGGGTCTTCCATGCTGCCAGGCACCTAACTACGCTCTCTCGACTCCCTAACTCGCTCGACACACGCTAGCTAATCACCGACCCTCACTGTACTGCCTACAACACAAAGGGACCACGGGGGCCTGACTGCCCAGCTGACTAAGACACAGCACCAGCTACTCTCACTACTCTAGAGGCGAAGCCGCAAACCTACCTCAATAAAGCAGAAACAACAAAGAGGTAAAGTCACTAAATTCTCTAACGCTGATACTTCTGAGCAGTCTAGCTGACTAGAGTGGGGGAAGCACAAATAAAGAAAACTGCAAAAAAAAGGCCAAATGGGCAAAACAACAACGAGGAGGAAAACAACAAACTAAACAAAATGGGAAAAAGCAAAAACCAAACAGACCCAGAAACAAACAACCAAGAAAAAGCACAAGCAACACCAACGAGCGCAAAGGCTGGTTAGATGGGTCCTAGTTACACAGATCACAAAAGAGTGCTCTCTGGGTAAGGCGGACAAAAATCCAGGCCCCCGCAGCACCTATATATAGTTTTTGGGGGCTCACCTCACATAGTGGTGCCTTATGAAGTCAGAGCGAGAAACGGACCAATCACAGCCCAGCCAGGGACTGTGGCATAATAGGACTTCCATAACAGTGGTGCCTTATGAAGTCAGAGCAAGAAATTGACCAATGGGAGCTGTAGTTCATCCACAGCAGTTTTCTCGAGAATCTTCCAATTAAAAAGAAATGATACCCAAAGAGTTTTGGCCTAGGTTGGTGATCGGGATGGGTACTTAATTTTTGAGAAACTCCAACCTGTAGATTGCTTCGGTGGCCTTCTCATTTCTGGTTTAAATATGAGGATAAGTGGTGTCTTTTCAAGACCTCCTAGAGTCTCCACTTAGTGTATCCCCTCCTTTGCCTTTACCCTCTGAGTGATGGGTCTCAGAATGATGGGACAATCTCTCTGGCCTCGGTAAACTCAACACGTGTTCTGTTGCCCAAGACACCGCCAGGTACAGAGTTCGCATCAGCAGAGCCGAGAGGAAGGTGGCTTTGTCACCCTTTCCCCCTAAGTCACCGTCAGATTTCTCGGCAGAAACCCTGGAAGCCCAGAAGGTAGTGGGGTCCACGCAGCCCAGACATGGAAGGCCCAATCAGTGGCAGCCGAGAAAGCTGCATCCTCCAAGCCTGGCCTCCGCCTGGTAGGGAGGAATCGAGGCGCTCCCAGGCACGTGGGGTTTTTGGGCTCCTGTCACAACAACTAAAACTCCTGGCTCCCAGCTTCAGCCTGGCCAAGGCCTGGAGGTCCTTTATGGGCTGTATCAGAGGATGGAAGAGACCCACCCCCCACTAGCACTCTCTCTTTCCCCTCTTCACTCTCACACAAATGGAATACAACTTAGAACAAAAAGAAAGACTACTTGCTTCATCGCCTCGGGACCTGCACAGCCCAGAACTACGAGGCGATGGCCGCATCACAGCCTCGGATCTGTCTCCTTGGGACAGCCTGGTGCTGAGCCCTCAGGACCAGTGTTTCTCCCGAGGAAGCCACAACCTCACCTCAGGTAGGAAATGAGCCCGGGAACCCCCGCCCCCCCACAGCAAGTGGATCGGTGTCTCCTGCAGCTCTTGAGGAGCCCCCAGGGCCCAGCACAGCTGTGGGCCCCAGGAACACGTGGTGCTCCCTCTGCACCGACTGCCCAAGCCCTCTTGGGAGAGGAACCCTCCCTGGGGAGATGACCCCTCCTCCGGGACGCCCAGGGAGATAGCACGGCGCAATTTCTCCGTGATTTCCTGCAGTGCTGGTCACCTCCTCAGGCTGGGAGGAAAGAACCAGCACCCCAGGAGTTCTCACTGCAGTTTTATTAAATAAGCTGAAAAAACAATCGAGTATGAGGACTTTGGGGAGTGTCTTCCATGAAGCACAGGTAAAAACTCATCTTTGTCGTAAGCTTGGAGTTTTCGTAGGCACATCAAATAAAGGGGAAACTCAGGACCTACCAAAGCATCACCAAATATATAACTCAACATTTATTCAGGTGCAAAAACTTTTGAAACCTGCGCATAGTTTTTCCTTCACATACTTTTCCCGTGAACGTCTTGTAAACCCTCTCCTATGCGTGAATTTCAAAATCTGCAACAAAGAAGCTCACCCTTTATTTCCATTTCCATGAGGTTTTCAAGTCCCTTCAAGTGACCCAGTTCGAGGAAAACCTGAGTTCCCATCCGGATTGCAAAGCAGCGTCAGCAAGGACGAGAGACACCACAGCTCTCATTCTCATCGCTCCTCCCAGTGCTGGTGGGAGCCTTGCAGACCCACCTGGTTCTAGAAAATGCATCTCCCCGAGGTATGTGATGGCCCCGAGATTCTGTGTCCCCCAGCCCTGCTCAGTAGTAGCCTGAACATGCTGCTAAAGTCCAATCTTGTCCATGCTGGACTAAAATGAGGGGCTGGAATCTCCATGGACCGCCCCAAGAATTCAATTCAGTGTAAATCCCAAAGGAAACTCCTAAGAAAATGTCTTATTAGACTGTTTTTATTTTTAAAACTTGATTTATTTAAAAGGCGACTTACAGCTACAGGGAGACAAAACACACACACAGAGAGAGAGAGAGAGAGAGAGAGAGAACTTTCATTCACTGGTTCACCTGCCCACCTCCCCAAATGGCTACCAGGGCTTAGACTAGGCCAGTCTGTAGTCAGGCACCCAAACTCCAACCAGGTTTCCCCTCAGTTGGCAATGCCCCAGGTTTTTGGTCATCTTCCTCTGACTTCCCAGGCACGTTAGCAGGGAGCTGGATCAGAAGCAGAGCAGCCAGACACAAACCAGCCTCCCAATATGGGATGCCAGTGTCACAGGCGGCAGCTTGACTGCTATGCCCTAGCGCTGGTGCCCAGGCTTCTTTAAGATTTATTTATTTGAAAGGTCAAGTGATCTTCTATCCTCTGCTTACTCCCCACTTGGCCACAATGACCAGGTGAGCTGGTTTGAGCCAGGAGCCTGTGAGGCTGGCACTGTGTGTAAGGGGTTAGGCCCGCGGTGCAGTGCTGCCATCCCATATGGGTGCTGGCTTGAGCCTCAGCTGCTCCACTTCCAGCCCAGCTCCCTGCTAATGTGCCTGGGAAAGCTGCGAAAGATGACCCAAATGCTTCGGCTGCTTCCCTCACATAGTAGACCCAGAAAGCTCCTGGTTCCTGGCTTCCACCCGGCACTTCCCTTGCCATTGTGGCTATTTAAGAAGTGAACCAGCAGATGTAAGACCTCTCTCTCTTTGTCTGTCTCTCTCTCTCTCCCTCTCTATCCCCTTCTACTCTGTGTTTGTGTGTGCATGTGTGTGTCTGTTTGTATTCCTCCCTCTCTCTAATTCTGCCTTTCAAAAAAATAAAATAAATCTTTTTAAAAAGCCTAGGAAGGGCCGGCGCCGCGGCTCACTAGGCTAATCCTCCGCCTAGCGGCGCCGGCACACCGGGTTCTAGTCCCGGTCGGGGCGCCGGATTCTGTCCCGGTTGCCCCTCTTCCAGGCCAGCCCTCTGCTGTGGCCCGGGAGTGCAGTGGAGGATGGCCCAGGTGCTTGGGCCCTGCACCCCATGGGAGACCAGGAAAAGCACCTGGCTCCTGGCTCCTGCCATCGGATCAGCGCGGTGCGCCGGCCGCAGCGCGCCGGCCGCGGCGGCCATTGGAGGGTGAACCAACGGCAAAGGAAGACCTTTCTCTCTGTCTCTCTCTCTCACTGTCCACTCTGCCTGTCAAAAAAAAAAAAAAAAAAAAAAAAAAGCCTAGGATGCCACCCAGGTCTACCACGTGGGCGGCAGGTGCCCAGGTACTTGGACCATATGCCGCTGGTTTCTCAGGTGCGTTAGTAGGGAGCTGACTTGGAGCCAGGACTTGAACAGGCACTTCAACTATGGGATGCTGGCATCATAAGCAGTGTCTTAGCCTGCTGTGCCATACACCACCCCCCAAGAACCAAGGTTTCTTTCTCGCTCCAAATCTGATATCAGCCAAGTAAAGGCCTTTTGCTCATCCTCAGAGAGGTGTCACAGCCTTTTGTCACACTTGGTTCACGGGGTGTGGTGATAGATAGTCTGCTCGTGTGTTGCACGTGTTTTATGAACTGTTGGAAGCCCTCATACCCTGCTAAAGTCTGCTGGGGGCCATGTGCTAACGGGGCAGACCTGCAGAACCAGTGACAGCCAGGTTACTCATCACCAGAGAGAGTCTACACAATGTCGCTTTAGCCGGGCAACCAGACACGAAACACCACCCTTCCCCCTGCCCTTCAGGGGACACAGGCACAGCCCCCTGGGTGGCCACCCCTGGTCACAGTGCCTGAGCTGGATGAGCTCATAATGCAGGTAGCGTCCATGCCAGGGCTCTGCCGGGCAGGAGACACAGCTACCAGGAAGAGCTCGCTCCCCTGGAGGCTTCCACTGGGGGCTGTGAATGCCAGGATGGTGCAAGCCCTCTCTCCTGGGAAGAGAGCCTGTGTCCAAGATGGAGTCCAAGGGACAGAGAGGTGAGAGAATGGGCTGGGGGCCAGGGCAGAGAGAGAGAGAGAGTGAATGAATGAATGGGCTGATCCTGTCCTGGAGATCTGCACCCCAGTTCTAATGCAGGTTTACCATTAGCACCCTCAGATCCCATGAGATCCCTCAGTGTCTGCGGATCTTTTCCAGCCCACAAGTAAGTAGGTTGCCTTTTTTTTTTCTGTTCTCATTGTCTCAGTTGTCTTACTGTTCTTAACTGGTTGACTGAGAGCATTCTGGGGAATGTAAGTTAGCTGTTGTGTGTGAGTTCCGGGAGCTGACATCAATTATGCCTCCAGAACTGACGTAAAGCTGCCTCTGCAGACTGCTCCCTGGACTCCCTGGCCCATGGGCAGGCTGCCCCGCCCCGCCCCTCAGACACCTGCAGCTGCTTCTAACCTTGGGCTGTGTGGGCTCTGTTCCCAGCCCTAGGGACGCTGCCCCACATGCTCGTGCGCCGTCTCGTGTCCCCACAGCAAAGTCTGCACACCCGGAACTATTTCCCTGCTTCTTTGCTAGGACTGTGTGAGCTCATGGGGACACGGGGGCTCCCCAAAGTCTGTGCATGGGTGGAGTTAAACTTGGTCCATAATGTTTTAATCCATGCATAATTTTTTCATAATATGATTTTTTATGAATTTTTGAAGACTCTTTTTTACAAAATTTTTTCTTTATTTATTTGAGAGGTAGAGTTACAGACAGTGAGAGGGAGAGACAGAGAGAGAGGTCTTCAATCCGATGGTTCACTCTGCAATGGCTGGAGCCGCACTGATCCGAAGGCAGGAGACAGGTGCTACCTCCTGGTCTGCCATGCGGGTGCAGGGGCCTAAGCACTTGGGCCATCCTCCACTGCCTTCCCAGGTCACAATAGAGAGCTGGACTGGAAGAGGGGCAACCGGGACTAGAATCCAGGACCCATATGGGATGGCGGTGCTGCAGGCGGAGGATTAACCAAGTGAGCCTCGGCCCCAAGCTGCACTTTCCAGGAAGCTAGAATCAGAAGCAGAGCTCAAATTTGAATCCCGACACCCCGATGTGTGTTGAGGGTGTCCTAAGTGGCTTCTTAACCACCACACCAGGTGCTTACCCCCTCAAGCTATTTTTAATCAGTAAAGAAAATGCAATCATGGAGGCCAGCACTGTGGTGTAGCAGGTGAAGCCACCGTCTGCAGCCCGGCATCCTATCTGGATTCTGGTTCAACTCCCAGCTGTTCCACTTCCAATCCAATGCCCTCCTAATGAGCCTGAAGACGGACCAAGTCCTTGGGCCCCTGTATCCTCATGGGAGACCCCTAAAAAGCTCCTGGTTCCTGGCTTCAGAACAGCCCAGCTCTGCCCATTGCAGCCATCTGGGGAGTAAACCCACAGATGGAAGATCTCTCTGTCTGTCTCTCTCTCTCTCTCTCTCTTCCCCCACAACTCTGCCTTTCAAATAAATAAATAAATATTTTAAAAAGAAGTGAATTCTAAGAGAGAGACACTTAGGTACAGAGTGCAGGTGTCTGTCCAAACATAAATGGGAGCAAAATTATAAAAGCTTGTACTAAGAAAAACATTGGTTGAAGCAGGAAGAGAATGTATGTTCTACTCTAACGCCCATGACGGACCTAAAGTCATGCATTGTTTTACAGACACAGACGTCCCAGTTTTCCATTCCTGAAACATCGATATGGTCTGATAGATTTAGAGGCACCGGTGCTTGGCGGGTAGTGAGGAAGACTTTGGTGAAGTAAGCAGCACGTGGTCCACGCTTGCGTCTCCGAGGGGAAAGGCAGGCGCAGCATCAGACACGGTGGCAGTGAGTCCCAGCGGGACAGACAGTCTTGGGTGGAAATAAACAGTTACTAGAGACTGTAACACGCTGTGTTGAACTTTCCTCTCCTGGCAGTCTACCATCTCTGTACCTAGGCGTTGGACTTGATACTTTTTTCTTAACAACGCAGCCAGCTCTAGCTGAGAGCCGTGTCCCTGTGTCTGTGCCCCAGTTTGCCAGTCAGCACCACCGCAACACCCATGACTCAGGCATACAAACTGTGTCCGTGGACTTGATTATTAAGAAACAACTCTTAAGCAGACAACAGTGTCCAGCTAATACAGGTGTGAAGGACAGTCCGCTGCCTTAGGCTCCCTTACGCACGGCTGTGTTCACAACAGCATCAGCGTTGAACAGAAGGCAATGGCCGTGGCCTCCGCCAAGGTGTGGAGTGGAGACTTGATTACCGGGGACACAGGCTCTCCCCGACTCACTTCCTGTCTCTCCTGGGAGCTCCTGTCTCACTGGAAGCTCTGTGCTTTGCTTCTCCCGTTCCCTAAATGCACGAGGATCATTTCTACCTCTCAGAAGTTAAACATGGCACTTCCTTTCCTTTTCTGGGTCATTCTAGGTAGCCTGCAAAGCTCAGCCAGCACTCACATGTGTGGGAGGCCTCCCATGAGCCAGCCTTTTCCCTCCACTGCAAGGTCACACAGTGCTGCCCAGGTCACACACAGTGCTGCTCCGGTCACACAGTGCTACCCAGGAAACAGTGTTGCTTCAGATCACACACAGTACTGCCCGGGTCACGCACAGTGCTGCTCGGGTCACACAGAGTGCTGCCCAGGTCACACACAGTGCTGTGCAGGTCACACACAGTGCTGCCCAGGTCATGCACAGTACTGCACAAGTCACACACAGTGCTGCCCAAGTCACTCACAATGCTGTGCAGGTCACTGAATGCTGCCCGGGTCACAAACAGTGCTGCCCGGGTCACACAGAGTGCTGCCCAGGTTACACACAGTGCTGTGCAGGTCACAGAATGCTGCCAGGTCACAAACAGTGCTGCCCAGGTTATGCACAGTGCTGCTCGGGTCACACACAGTGCTGCCGAGGTCATACACAGTGCTGGCCATGTCACACAAAGTGCTGCTCGGGTCACACACAGTACTACAAGGTCACACACAGAGTGCTGCCCAGGTCACACACAGTGCTGCCCAGGTCACACAATGCTGCCCAGGTCACACACAGTTTTTCCCCAGCCCCTGTGTTCATCCATTCTTCTCTTCACCGTCTTGAGCATGATTGCATGATTTTTAACCTAGATTTACTGAGGACTCAGGCTTATCCAGGACCTAACCCATGGCTCTACAGAGGAAGATCTCTCTTTCTGTCTCTCTCTCTCCCTCTCTACCTCTTCAACTCTGCCTTTCAAACAGATAAAAAATAAATCTTTAAGTGCTCAGGGGCAGCAGAGACAGGAGGGCTGGCATTCACACAACTGCCTACGCAGTCTGTCATTACAATTGTTGTGTCCATATACACAGATTCACAGCTGTGAATCTTAGTGTGCCTGTACTTTACAATGGGGGTGTGTGGGGGGAAGCACAGTGTTGGGCTGGGTGTCATCTGTGGTATCCAAGTGCACTGAGGGTCTTGGTGGGCACCCCTGTGGGTGCAGGAGGGCCATGGGCCACCACTTTGAGGACCCTCCTCTTCCACAGGGCCCACGGACATCTGCAGGAGGAGCTGAGCCCAGGCCAGAGGCAGAGGGACGGGGGTGTCGGCGAGGGTCTCAGTGCTCTGGCTGCCATGCCCGCCCTCTTTCCCAAGGTGGGCTGGGCGCATCTGGACAGCAACATAAAAGGATAGAGATGAGTTTAACTGCTCTAAAGAGCAAAGACAAAAAGTCTCAACTCCAGTGGGCTGCGCAGGCGCACAGCAGGGGCACGGGGGGGTTGAGGTCATGGGGACGCCAGTCCCAGCAGGTGGAAGGGGAAGCTGCAGCCTGGAGTCCCACTGGGAGTGAGAGGGCCCAGAGCAGTGGAGCCCGAGGCTGGAGGGGAAGCTCACAAGGTAGGAAGGAGGTGGCCCTGAGCTGCGGGGGAGGCAGGGGAGGGAAGAGGAAGGAACCTAAGCAGCAGGCAGAGGAGAATTCTGGGAAGGTGGAAGAAGCAAGGGCCTCTGAGAGGGGAAGCGGGGGCAGCTGGGGGGTGGGGGCAGGGATGAAAGCCCAATGGCCACGCCTCCACACCAGTGACTTTTTCTCCTTGCCTCCCCTCCTGAAGTGGGCCCCCTGGATGCACCCTCCTTGTGAGGAATCCAGTTCAAGTCCTCGCTACTCTCTTCCAATCCAGCTTCCTGCTAGGCACATGCTGAGAGGCAGCCGGTGAGGGCCCAAGTACTTGGGCTCCCATCACCCACATGGGAGACCCAGTTGGCGCTCCATGCTCCTGGCCCAGTCCTGCCTGTTGCATGGTTCCTCTTCTGTGCAAAGAATGGGGTTGGGCCTTCAAGGGGAAAAGAAGAGAAGGCCGCAGCTCCCAGAGCTTTCTAGGCAACAGAAGAGACCCCTGGTGGCAGAGCCTGTCCACTGCAGACCACCCTTCTCCAACAGTAGGGTTACAATTCCCAGGTCCCCCAAGAGAGCCGTGGCCATGTGACCCTGTCCAAGCCAATCGAAGATGAGAGGAAGTTGTGGGCGTCACTTCCAGGCGTGGCCCTGAGGAGGGTGCTCAGTGCTCCTCCCTTGAGCTCCTCCTCCTCACTTGCTGTTGCTAGGACTTGAAGGCCTACCTCCTACCACGCAAATGACAATGACAATGACAATGACAATGACCCACACATGGCAAAGCCACCTCCTTGCCTGAGTCTCTAGATAAGTTTATGGTAAAGAACTCATTATCCACCTTGCATTGGTTTGTGGGAAAGAAAGAAACTTACAAGCTGTTTGAGTCCTTGCATTTTAAAAAATCATGTAACTCGTTAATCAATTTGAATGGCAGAGAGAGAGAGAAACAGACATCCATTGGCTCACTCTCCAAATGCCTACAGCTGACCCCAGCTGGGAACTCCATCCAGGTCTACCATGTGAGTGGCGGGAACCCAACCACTGGAGCCATCACTGTTTTGGTTTGCTTTTGACAGCGCAGACTCAGCACAAAGGACATCCCCGGTACCCAGGGCAACTTCGAGAAACATCACAGCTGAAAACTTTGGTCAGTCGATTTTTGGTTTTGGTTTCAATCAAGGCAAGAGGATTTTTTACTCTCTGTATGCCACAAGATTTGCTTTTGGTAAAGAAATCAGAACAGTTTGCGGCCGGCACTATGGCGTAGCAGGTAAAACTAGCGCCTGCAGTGCCACATCCCATATGGGAGCCAGTTCCAGTCCCAGCTGCTCCACCCACTCCACTCTCCACTGACGTGCCTGGGGAGGCAGTGCAAGATGCCTCACATGCTTAGACCCCTGCACCCACATGGGAGACCCGAAGAAGCTCCTGACTTTGGCCTGGCCCAGCCCTGGCCTTCGTGGCCATTTGGAGAGTGAACCAGCAGATGGAAGACCTCTCTCTGTCTCTCCCTCTCTCTCTAACTGTGCCTTTCTTTTTTTTTTTTTTTTTTTTTGACAGGCAGAGTGGACAGTGAGAGAGAGAGACAGAGAGAAAGGTCTTCCTTTGCCGTTGGTTCACCCTCCAATGGCCGCCGCGGCCGGCGCGCTGCGGCCGGCGCACCGCGCTGATCCGATGGCAGGAGCCAAGATCCAGGTGCTTTTCCTGGTCTCCCATGGGGTGCAGGGCCCAAGCACCTGGGCCATCCTCCACTGCACTCCCTGGCCACAGCAGAGGGCTGGCCTGGAAGAGGGGCAACCGGGACAGAATCCGGCGCCCCGACCGGGACTAGAACCCGGTGTGCAGGCGCCGCTAGGCGGAGGATTAGCCTAGTGAGCCGCGGCGCCGGCCTAACTGTGCCTTTCAAACAAATAAATAAATCTTTAAAAAAAGAAAAGATACCAAACAATTAGTGGCGAGGAGTCACAGAATAACCACACTGGCAGGAACCCGGGAGAGCCTCGGCCAGTGCTCCCACTACAGGAGAGGAGACCGAGGCTCAGCAGTGGGAAGCTATTTCGGAGGGTCATAGGTCACGGTGTCAGAGCAGGACTAGGATCCCATTTGTGACCTCAGCCATGTCTGTCTCTGCCTCCCCACAGGCAGGAGGAGGCTGAAGCCACAGACCGTGTTCAGGAAGTGACGCTCCTGCTTCACCAAGTGTCCACCACAGCCCCGGCAGCCACGAGGGGCAGCTCAGCAAGGCCACCAAGGGCCCAGGGTGCCCCACACCCTGTGCCTCTGCTTTACCCAGAGCCTGATCCTCTGAGTGGCCGTGGACACATCCACCTCAGCTGGACCAGTGCTTGGCCCTGGACCATGAGGACCACCAGGGAGGTGAGTCTCTGGGGACCTTGAACTGACCAGTGCCTACTTCTATGTATTTACTTACTCATTTATATTTTATTTACTTCTTTGTTTAAAAAGCAGAGAGATGGAGATCTTCCTTCTGCTGGCTCACTCCCCAAATGCCTGCAACAGCTGGGGCTGGGCCAGGCGGAAGCCCAGAGCCGAGAATTCACTCCAGGTCTCCCATGTGGGAAGCAGGGACCCAACTACTTGAGGGTGTGCACTGGCAGGAAACTGGAATTGGGGAGCAGCCAGGACTGAAACCCAGGCTCTGCAGTGTGGGAGGTGGGCATCCCCAGCAGCATCTTGGCTGCCCCAGCAAATGCCCTCCCCAGCCCCTACCTGTTGAGTCAGGACTGAATCTGCAGGCAGCACACACCTGGGCAAACTTAACAGAAGGAAATGGGGTTCCACTTGATGTTAGCCGGCTGGTAGTGGCTCATTCGTGCGGCTGAAAACGTGTTGCCGTGGAAGCTGGCCAGGCCGTCACTGCCCACGCCACAGTGAAGGGCACCCGTGTGACCGTCAAGGGAGGGCCTGGGAGCAGCAAGCCCTGTCCACACCAGGAACTGCTGATGCCGAGGGTGGCTCAGCCCGGAAGTCACCTGTATTGCTCTGTGCAGCCATTGTGTCCTGGTGTCCCACCTGATGTCAGGGCACCCCAGGACCTGGTGGCTGAAGGTTGCAGGCTCCCAGTGTCCCATGCTCAGTGAAGACTGTCTTCTGACTCCAGTTTCCATTAAGAGGTAAAGAACTGGGGCTGGCGCTGTGGCATAGCAGGTAAAGCTGCCATCTACAAGAAACGGCATCCCATGTAGGCTTGGGTTCAAGACCCAGCTGCTCCACTTCCAATCCAGCTCCCTGCTAATACACCTGGGAAAGCAGTAGAAGATGGCCCAAGTCCTTGGGCCCCTGCACCTATGGGGGAGACCTGGAATAAGCTTCTGGCTCCTGGCTTCAGATCAGTCCAGCTCAGCTGTTGTAGCCATTTGAGGTGTGAACTAGTGGATGGAAGATCTTTCTCACTCTCTCTCTCTCTTTCTGTAATTCTGCCTTTAACATAAATAAATCTTTTTAAAAAGGTTTTTTCATTACATTCATTTTTTTCCATTACACCCTTTTCCACTCACCCCTAAGAGGAATTTATGCCCTGTTCTTTTCACTTCCCATTTTATTGTAATGATTTTATTAGTTCTTTCTCTCTTACATGGCATTGATTCATTAGTTCTTCTTAAGCCCAGCATTTTAAGTGTCTCACGCTATTGCTGATAATAAATTTCTACTCTGGTGAATACATTCCACCACCCCGAACGTTCACTTAAGCTGTTTCCCAATGTTTCTTCTTGTAAACAAATGCTGCTTCAGATACATTTGTGTTTGCTCTCCGATTGTGTCACCGGGTCGTATTTCTAGAAATATCTTTCTGGATTTGAATGCTTTGGTAAACACTGTGCGGTGTCTCACCACGTTCTGGAGCAGCGTCGTTAAACAACCTCCTGCTGCATCGCCCACTTGCCAGCGTCACAGACCCCGTGACGATTTCGTGGTTCCCAGCTTCTTTTCTTTTCCCAACACGACGTTTTGGTAAAGGCTCTTGGAAGCGGTTTATTCTTTCTGTTTTACCATTCCCGCTGACACCTGCTCACTCCTGCACTTTCTTTTTTTCTTCTTCTTTTTTTTTACATCACAACATTGTTTATTATGTGAATTTTTTACAATACAAACAAAAAATACAGAAATGCAATATATGAATACAGCTAAATGCAGAATGGTGGCTTTTTTTTTCTCTTCAAGAGGCCATTTTCCCCATTTCTAGTCAAATAAAGAGGCTGCATATAGGTAGAAACAAGTTGGTGGTTAGCTTCACAATTTTGCCTAGAAATGATCTATAAATGCATTTTCCCCCTGCTACTTACCATAAAGTGTAAAAAGGGAGTAAAAGGAAAGTTTCCCTGTTGGTTCCTACCTTATGAAAGATGCTACTTTCTATTTTAGCAGGGCCAATACATGGAAAATATCTAAATTAAATGTTATTTCAGAAATGAAGCAGTAATGAGATTCTGGCTAAAGAGGGCACTAAATGAGAATAATACATATTTAAAGAATCCAAAACAAACAAAAAAGGTTGTTATAAAAAAGCTCTAGGTGCACTGTAAGCATATAGGTTTTCTTTTTTCCATGTGTATTTTAAACAGTGCACTTTCGCTAACACTTTCCGCATCTTCCTGGAAACATACTCCGTTGAAGACAGGGTGGCCGCAGCCTGCAAGCTCGCGCTCGGGGAGCAGCCGGGGGCGGTGGCAGGAGCTGGTTTTTCTGAGCACAGCAGTTCCCACCAGGCAACAAGAATGAGCCATTTTCAGCGAGTTCAAGATCGGGCAGGCATTTGGTCTAGCGGTTAAGACAGGATAAAGCCACCACTTGCATCACCTGCATTCCATATTAGAGTGCTGGTTTGTGTCCCGGCTGCTCTGCTTCCGATTCAGGTCCCTACTAATGCACTTGGGAAAGCAGCAGAAGGTGGCCCAAGGGCTTGAGCCCCTGCCACCTGCATGGGAGACCTGGGAGAAGCTCCTGGCTTCTGACTTTGGCCTGGCCCAGCTCTGGCCATTGCAGCCATCTGGGGAGTGAACCAGCAGATGAAAGACCTCTGTCTCCTCTCTCTCTGTAACTCTACCTTCCAAATAAATGAATACATCTTTTTAAAAATCATCGAGAATACACATTATGAAAACTATAGATGGATTTTGAAAACCTTTTGCAGCAACATAAACATTTTTAATTTCCTTTTCTTTGAACTTTAAGTATGCTTGTATCTAACGGCCTCAGCCTGCACAGGGCACAGTCAGGGCCAAGTCCAAGGAGGCTGAGCATGCCGGGGCCTAACAGCCTGGAGGCAGAAACAAGTGGGGCCGGGGAGACACCTGGCTGAACGCACTGATTACAGAGACCAGAACCTTGCAGGTCCAAGGCAGGAATACGGGTAACGCCGGCCAGCAGTGCCTGGAGAACGACCCAGCAATCGCTCCCCCACCAGTGACGTCACAGGCTCCACTGGCAGCCAGGTAAGGACACAGGCCCAGCGCCCTTTCCCGCAAGGCAGGTGGCAGCCAGAGAGCGGCTGGGCAGCATGTCGAATGACTAAAGGCCTCTGGGCCTGCCCGCTGCGGCAGCAGGTGCAGCGGCGACGCAGCCTCGGCTCCGGCGGAGCGATCAGGAGAGGTCTGTGTTCTGTTGCGGCCTGGGGTTGGCTGGCTCCAAAGTCCCTGTGCTCATGGTGGGCGGAGGTGGCGCCTTTCCGAGGTAACTGGGGCTGGGGAAGACCTGCAGGTGGGGCCTCCACGCCTGCATTAGCGGCCCTCTAGAAGGAAGAGAAGCCCGGTCAGCAAGCAAGCTGCGGCCCCGCCCCGGCCAGGGACTTCTCCGAGCCGCCCCACCCCCCTACCCCAGCAAGACTGCGCCCACCGGAGGTAGCCCCTCGGCCGAGGACTGCGCGACCTCCAGAACTGTAAGCAATCATTTCTTCTCGTTTGTGGCTTGTAGCTTTACGAACAAGGAACCAGGAGGCGGGCAGTGCCCAGTTAATGTCACACACACCGCCCCCCCACCCCCAGCAGGTGGCTTTGTGTCTGTCACAGCCAGTGCATGGGCTGAGGGCCCAGCTGTCTTGTGTCTACTGAGCCTAAACGCTGGCCACCGCAGCGCTCTCTCCCAGTGGTGGGTCTCCAAGTCTTTCCCGGGGGACTTTGGTCAAGTTTCATTTCCCGGGAGGAGTCTTCCTTCCGGTGGCTGGATTCCACCCAGGCTCCGGGCTCGCTCCCACTCAACCCTCGCCCAGGATACTGAGGAACCCAGAAGGAGCTAGGGACCCCAGGCGGCTGCGAGGTCAGGTCTTGGCTGTTTGAGTCTGAGAAGGAGCCCCGGTGGGGGACCCCATCATCCTGTTCTTAGGGGCGTGCTTGCCACCAACACTCACCCTGGCCCAAGCCCTGGGTGACGGCGTCTTGGTCGGCAGCCGTGCTGGGCTGAGGAAAGGAGTCGCCCAGGTCTGCCTGTTTTTCATGAAAGCCAGGGGTCCGAGAGAAGCGACTGTCCCTGGGTAGTCCAGGGCCAGTTGGGCACAGAGCCCGGGAGGAGACAGAAGACACGGGAAACCCAGCCCAGTCCTTGGAAGAAAGGGAGGAGGTGGCTACCTTGTGGCTGGGAGAGGCTCACGCCGGTGTGCCTTCACGGAGGCAGGGTTTGCGCCAGGCTTGGCTGTGGCTGCAGCTGGGGGACTCTGCAGGGGCCCTCTGCTCCCCAGACAACCCTCAGACTCCCCACCACTAGAAATGGCCTCCTTGTCTTGAAGCTTTCCAAGAACCAGATGTTGTGCCCAAGGACTCTCGGGTTTTGTCTGGGGAAGCTGGAAAAGTCCTGGAGATGGGGGTGGGGGATGGGAGTCCACAGTGGGAGTGTGCCGAGTGCTGGTGAACTGTGCACTGAAAAACGCGTCAGTGGCAAACTCTGTGTTCTGTCTGTTCACCACGGTTTTCCAAAGAAACGCGTGTGGGTGGCCTTGGTTATCCTCCCCCGTCTTTTCTCAGCAGTGGATGAGAATCAGCTGCCCAACTACGAGCCGGGTCTCTGACCCCAAGCCCAGTGCCATTTCTCTAAGTGAACTCAGCTGATGTCCCAGGACCTGCTCCTTACCTCCAGTGGTGCAGCCCCTGTAATACAAGTGCTTCTGGGAGGCATCGCGCTGAACCGTGGAGTCATTTACACTCTAGAGTGAATGACCATTCTTTCGGGCAAGCAGGTACGCCTGGAGGAGAGGCAGGCTGGCATGAGGAAGCCGCTAGAAGGGAGGGGACTCTTGCCGGTGACAGGTGGGTCTCAAAAGGTTGTCCATCCAAGCTCCTCATCTTAGTCACAAAGACAACCCCAGCCAGCCCTGACACAATGGCTGGAGGAGCCCCTTGTTCTTGAAAAGGCGGTAGTGGGGGACTGGTTCTCACTCGTGGCTGCATGGTGGAATCATCAAAGATCGATGGCCAAGCAGCCCCACATCAGACTCTTTAAGCCAGACATGGCAGGGGCGGGCCCAGGTGAGGGTGCTTGAATGAGCGCACCAACCTCAGGGATCGAAGCAAAGGTCTTAGGGGTCTCCCTGTGGTTCCAGGGACTGCTGGGAAGCTACTGCAAGGCACAACCAAGGGGGCTCATGGTCCTCCACTCAGCTGATGAGGGACAAACCAAGCCAAAGCCCACCTCTCTCCCCAGAGGGACCATCTCGCTGGTTCTGCAGAATGGGAGGTACAGGCAGTCTGCTGGCGTCTCATTGCTCTGGGCACAGCCGTCACTCGCATGAGGTTCATCTGGACAAACTCCTTTGCACCCAGGAGGGCATCGAAACTGCCTCTCCTCCTGGTATGACCTGCGTAACCCCACCATCAACACCTCCCTCCCCAGCTCCCTCGGCCGCAGGGTGATCATTCCAGAGGAGGCCCCAAGAAGCCTCATGCCTCCAGAACATGTCGCTAGGAAGGTTCGGGGTAGCAGTCCTGGGAAAGAGGGGTCCATGTGCCCCCTTCTCTGCCTGGCACATTGCAGTGAGACTCCCTTGGTCAGGTTCTTGTGCTTCCACGGTCAAAGGCAAGGCCCAGCTGGTCTCTGGCATCACAGGTGTGTGGGAGTCGCCGACTGGGTTCCCACTTCCTCAGGCCCCATGCACCTGTTTCTCTGGAATTAACCAGCAGTGAGGCTCTCCCTCTCTCTCTCCTCCTTTCCCCCTCTCTCTCCTCCTTTCCCCCTCCCACACACGCAAATGCTAAGGTTCCTCAAATTAAACCCCATAGAAAATGAGCATGACAAAAATCCACAAGGATTTCAAGAAATTTTGCACCAACATGAACTTGTAATTCTGTTTTTCCATGAAAATTTTCAAGGATCCTTGTAATGTTACCCTGGAGAAGCCAGACACAAAAGAGAAATGATTCCAATTATGGGAAGTTGAAAAGCCGCAGATCCCTGCCGTAGGAAGTTGGGGCGGGAGTGGGGGAGGGAGGGGAGAGTGCTCCCACGGTGATGACAGTCGTGGGGCTGTCACTCTGGGTCACACGTGTGTGCCCCTTGTTTGAGAATGGCTCCGGGCGGACGCTGCCAACGTGGGCTTGTCTGTATGCAGGAGCTGCCTCCCACCAGCAGTTTAGCCCGGATGCTGCAAGGGCCCAGAAACCCTTCCCGGGTCCCTCAGAAGCAGCTGCTCTTCCTGGGCTCCTGGCTTGGGTGGGTTTCAGACAGCAGGGACCTTTGTGACTCAGGGGACCCAGAACAGAGCTTCTGGGGACAGACCTGGGGGCCCTGGTGAGGGCCTAGGGAAATGAGGGAAATCGTGCCCATATCACACTGCCAGACACACAGCCTCATGCTCAGGGCAGCCTCAGCCAGTCACCTGGGGCCTCATTGGGCCATTGTAAAGTGAGCCTGTCATGCAGACGGGTTTTCCCACCTGAAAACCCTGGGGAATGTCTCTGGGACTCCCTAAAGGCTGCCTGTATGAACAGGGTGCTGGAGGCCTCGGCATGGGGTAGGTGTGCCGGGCAAAGGGATGAGGTCCCATGGGTGCAGCCAGCAGGGCTCTGCCAAGATGGGTCATGCGCAGCACCTGTGAGGGGTCAAGGCCAGATCCGGCTGCTGAACGATGAACTCTCCCTACTTGAGCCACATGGGGTTCCCTGCCCCCCCCCACATGGTGACCTCCTTCCTGCCCTGAAGGTGGGAGGCAGGAGGGGAGGAGGGGGAGGTGCTTGGGAGA